TCCCTCTGGACTCGAGACGCCACCCTGTCCCTCAGGGGTCTGTCCCTCTGGACTCGAGACGCCACCCCGTCCGTCCCTCAGGGGTCTGTCCCTCTGGACTCGAGACGCCACCCTGTCCCTCAGGGGTCTGTCCCACCGGACTCGAGACGCCACCCCGTCCCTCAGGGGTCTGGCCCACTGGACTCGAGACGCCACCCCGTCCCTCAGGGGTCTGGCCCACTGGACTTGAAACCACCCCGTCCTCAGGGGCTGTCAGAGGCCATGCCAAGGCTCACTGTGCCCTGCCTTGGCTTCAGGCTCTCAGCCGGGGGAGAAGCGAGCAGGGCGGCCTCTCTTTGGGGTCTGTCTCTGTAAGTCCCAGCTGACCCGAACACCATGAGATCCAGGCACCAGTCCCAGCCCCAGCGAGGGTCACTGCAGCAAACACGCCCTCTTCAGGCCCCTCCTGAAGTGCAAATCCAGTGCGTGCCATTGCAGGTTACGGAGCTCCCGGGGCTCCGCTCGGGGCCTCGCGGCAGGGCTGGCAGCGCCCGCCTGCAAACAGGGCACACGCTCCACCTGGCTCCTGTGTGTCTGCTCCCATGCTTCCTTCTACTTAGTTTTGTTTGTGTCTTTGCGGTGCTGAGGATGGAGCCCAGGCCTTGTGCCGCCAGGCCACAGCTCTACCACGACGTCATCATCCCTGACTTGGGTTTTTCCTGCCTGTTTTGCCGTGGCTCTGCATCCCGCTCTGCGGGAGTTACGCTTGGAAGGTGAACTGGAGTTGACCCTGGGACTGCCCATGGTGTGGGGGACACACTGGCATGCCCAGTACGTGCCACTCGGGGTACACCCCAGACCACCCTCACCTCCAAGAGTTAACTGCGCAGCAAATGACATGCCAAACGCGCTCAGATGCGAAGGATCATACATCTCCACCGCAACTCATTTACGCATAATTTGCCTGCATGATGTTCAGTCTTTCATGGCGATTCATGAATCACCCAGAGAGCTTCATTTCTCAGCGTCCGCCTGTCCGCCCAAGGTCAGCAGTGGCTCGTGTTCACTGCAGGCCCAGTGGGGCGGACACCTGAACTCACCGCCCTCCCCCCCGCCCCCCCCAGGCGGGAGAGCCTGGCTGCCCAGGGCCGCAGGTGAGGGGAGTGAGCACGGTTCCCACTGGAGGACGAGGACATGTGTCCCCTGTGCAGGACGCCTGCCGCGTGGGATGACGGCTCCACACAGCAGGGCAGGCCGACAGTGGGACCTCACGGATGTCCACAAGTGGGGAATGGCGTCCGCAAGGAGGGGCGGGCATGTGCATCACAGGCGAGCAGCGGTGTCTGGGTTAGACTCCAGCCGTTTCTGCTCTATCTTGTGAGGTACGGGTGGATGGGCCAGGAACTGGGAGGCATTGGGGACCTGGGCTGGGCGGGGGTGGACAGTGGGGGGCAGACCCCTGTCCTCCCCAGCAGAGCAAGGCCCCTTCTCCTTGGCTCAGACGCGGCCCACATGCAAGTAAGCCCACGGCATGACTGGTGCTCAGGGGCAAAGCGCCAGCGATGGCTGGCTCTGTCCTGAACCACAGAGTGCGCACCTCCCGCTGGTGGGCGCTCACCCCGCCCGCCCCCTCCCTGCCCAGCCCCCTCTCCCACAAGCCCTGGCTTCCGGGGTCAGGTGCTTCACAGCTGCCCTGTGGGGCAGCTCACCGGCCCTGGGCCTCGTGGGCTGTGGAAACGTGGGTAGGTGCTCCATGGAGCCCACGTCACTGTGTGGGAGACCCCTGGTCCGGTGAGGCGTGAGGCGCCCCCTCCCGCAGGGAAGGAGCCCGGTCCCTTGACGGGGCGCGCGGGGCTGGAGTCAGCCTGCCTCACTCTCTGCCAGTTCACCCCCTGCCATGCTTGGGTGTGTCCGTGTTTAAAGACTGTCAGTGACACACCGAGAGGTCCCCCTCTGTCTCCAAGCCGGTGTGAAGCCTGGTTTCGGTGCTTTTCTGGGGATGTGTTGAGTGACACTCTGCCCTTCATGGAAACTAGAACCGTGTCGGCTGCTAGGTGGTGACTGCGGGTCATAGCGCGGAGGGAGACAGAACTGGGACCAGGCCCACTTAGGGCCTGACCCTCAGCAATGAAGGCTGTCCGGGCCTCCACCGCCTCCTGTACCACAGCCTCCCCTCCCCTCGGAGAGCTCCACGTGCCCGGAGAACCAGCGGTGCGCTGGGCAGCCAGCCCTGCCCGGGCCCGGCTGCTACACGCCCCCCTCCACCCCCCACCAGCGCGGCATCACACCGCACCCTGCGTGGCAGCGCAGACACCCGGAGAACCTGGGAGGGGTGCGCACGTCCTTGTGGAAACTTGGTAGTTCTACAGATGGGACTTGAACCTCTGAGGATTCGGGTAGCCCTGGGGGTCCTGGGACCACCCCCCAGCAATATCAGGGAAAGCTGCACCTGCATACATTACTCTGGGAGCCTCCTAATCTAGGTTAAAGGTGCATCCGCAGCTCTGCGGTCAGGACCCGCGATGGAGCTCTTCCTCTGGCCAGGGTAGCGCCTTTCCGTGAGGTCCGGGGGCTGCGAGGCGTGCCGCGGCCAGGACGGGCAGCAGGAGACAGACAGATGGGCGGTGTGATGGACAGCACGGTGTGTGGACATCGCTTGACCTGCGAGACCCTGTGTCCTCCGGAGCGGGGGGGGGGGGGAGCTGTTTCCCAAGCTGGGTGGGTCCCCGACGGCCTCGCGGACTGTGGAGCCGGCTCCTCTCTCATACTCCCACCCCAACCCCCGACAGGCACGGCAGGCTCGGGGGTGAAGTCGGTGCAGCCAGGGCGGCCGTGGGAACTGCGAGCAGCTGCGTGGACGGAGGGGCTGCGGCTGGGCTGCGGGGGGAGGGAGGCCCGCCGGCTCCAGCTGGCGGATCAGCCTCCACCGCAAGGTCACCGGCTCTCCACCCCGCCGTTCCTCCAGGTGTTGCCAGGCGGTAACATCTGCCCAAAAAGCACACGTGGCCCCTGGTCATCCGTTGTTCTGCGGCTGCCAACGGCCCTGACAGAGGACGTGTGCTGGAACAAAGAGGCAGAGTCTCACCGCACAGGCCGCCGAGCCGCGGCGGCACCCAGGACCCGGCCCGCCTGTCCTTCCTTCTTCCTCCTTGGGGCACTGCACTGCTCGGGGCTGTCCCCACCCCACCGCAGAGGCTGGGGCTCGGGTCCGCGCAGCACCGGGAGGCCGCGAGGCCGCCAGCAGCAGCTGCGGGCTCTCAGTGGGTGGCACGCCTGCTTCCATTATTCTCCCCTCTCGCCGTCTGCTCTCCGCGGCCCCCACGTCACACGTGTGCCAAACAGGGCTCTGCGGCCCGGCGTGGGGCCACGGCTGTTACTCACAAGGACACAGTGACCCCAGTGGGCGAAGGAGCTGCTGAAGGCTGGGCTGGGGCTTGGGGTCCATCTGTCTGTCCGCTCACAGCCACAGACACTGTCCCCAGCCCTCCATCAGTGGGCTGTTCCTTCCACGATGGCGTCGGCCCCCTGTCCATTCGCCACGAACGCTGCTGGCCATGAAGCTGCTGGTCCCTCCCCTCACGGCCACCCCAGCACTGACAGTGCAAAACTTGCCTTTGCAGCGAGCCTCAGAAACGCAGACACTCCTTCCCCCCACGCCGAACGTGACTCCCAACACGGGCGTCATCTGCAGGTTCACCCTCAACTCTTCTCACAACCTTATCCACCCACACACCCAGGCACACAGGCCTCCATGGCGTCTGCAGAGCTCACCCCTGACCTTTCCCACGGCCCACGCAAGCGTGTCTCCGCCTTACTCCAGGTACATTACCTCTTGATGGTCAAATCACGTTCTGTAACTTTAACTTTCATTCCATGAGCCGAGTTCCCTTCGGGCATGTTGGAGTCCTGGCTTGTGGCTGGGTGTGCCTCTGGCTGTGTCAGACGCACACTTTACACTCACTACTACATTCGCCTTTGACCAAGCAGAGGAGTGTTGTTAGGAAGTCTGAATGTTCTAGACCGGCATCAGTGAGCAGCTTAGTAAACCCGCATCCTTTTCTTAGGACCAGAGGCCTCAGGCTTTTCCTCTCGGACCCGCCTCTGGAGGGCGAGGCAGCCTGCCCGCCTCTTAACCAGGTGGTTTCAAATTCACTTTGAGTACTACCCTATGTCCTTTCTGCACTTTGTGCATCTTGTTCATAAAGTGGGCGGGAGAGGGGTGTCTTTTTTGTGCCTTTATTGATTTATGAATTGTTTGTTTGTTTGCACTGCTGGGGTGGAATCCAGGGCCTAGCAAGTTTGGTAAGGACAGCGACCATCGTTAGTCCTGCCGTCCGTGTCTAGGAAGCCCCACCAGGGCTCGGCGTTTACCAGCAGCTGTCTATGAGGTCCACAGCCCGGCTGGGAGAGCGGGGTCCCCTCCCACGTGTCTGTGGGCATTCTGACTTCTGCTCTGTGAGCGAGTGCGTGAAGCTCGAGGCGCATCAGGTGTGGCCCGCGTTTCTCCCGGTGCATCCCAACACGAGGGCTCTGCACACGGGCTGGTGGCTTCCCTGTGCATTCTTGTGCACGCTTGCTCTCAGCTGCTTCTCGGGGGCCCTGAAGTCGCCATGGCTGCAGAGGTCTCTGTTCTGGAAAGCCTGCAAGGCCACTGGACCACAAGAGCTCAGTCTCCACATGCCAGGCGTGACCCGGAGTGCAGCCTGGCCCGGCTGACCCCCTGGTGTGGAGCCTGCTGACCCTTCTGATCGTGTGGGACATTGCGGAGCACTTCCTGGATGTGACGTCCCTTGATTTCGATTTTTGTCAATGCAGGGACGTGTGTTAGGGGGCTCTGGACCACGGGCACGTGGCGAGGCCCGTGGGCTTGGGTGGGAGGAGGCCCTGGCTCCGTGCTGCTCTCCTGTGCCGGCATTGCTCGTGGTCCGTTCTGGGCACCGGAAGCCCGTTGCTCTTCCAGGTGGGGTCTGGGCAGCCCCAGCCTGGCCGCCGGCCACGTGCACCATGCTCAGTTTACTGGGTCACACTGGAGAGATCTCAGTCATCCTAGAACGTGTCAAAATCAGGCACTGAAGAACGTCCACAGCCCCAGGAACAGGACCTTGCCGCGCGGCCGTCTGCTCTGTGCTGGCGGCTCCGTCCCTGGGGCGCAGCCCTCTGCTGGGTGCTGCCAGCCCCATCGCTGGGGCGCAGCCCTCTGCTGGGTGCTGCCAGCCCCGTCGCTGGGGCGCGGTCGTCTGCTCTGTGCTGGCGGCCCCGTCGCTGGGGCGCAGCCGTCTGCTGGGTGCTGCCGGCCCTGTCGCTGGGGCGCGGCCGTCTGCTGGGTGCTGGGGCGCGGCCGTCTGCTGGGTGCTGCGGGCCCTGTCTCTGGGGCGCGGCCCTCTGCTGGGTGCTGCGGGCCCTGTCTCTGGGGCGCGGCCCTCTGCTGGGTGCTGCGGGCCCTGTCTCTGGGGCGCGGCCGTCTGCTGGGTGCTGCGGGCCCTGTCTCTGGGGCGCGGCCCTCTGCTGGGTGCTGCGGGCCCTGTCTCTGGGGCGCGGCCCTCTGCTGGGTGCTGCGGGCCCTGTCTCTGGGGCGCGGCCGTCTGCTGGGTGCGCCAGTGGCTCCCGTCGCTGAGGCGTGGCCCCGCGCACCTGCTCCAGACAGAGCGGCCAGGCCATCCTCCGCTCACTGTTCCTGAGCAGCGCGACTTGGAGGTGTCAGCAGCCGGCTGCACTGCCGGGGGGGGGACCCCAGGAGTTGGGGGGAGCAGCGGCAGTTGGTGGCTCCGGATGCTGTCCCCCCCATACCACACACCAACTGCCTTCTGTTATTAGCAGAGACGCCCGCACCCCACGCACAGCCGTGCACAGCCCCGCACAGCCACGCGGCAGTCCAGGATGAGGACTCCTGTGTCCACTCCCCTCCCGTCTCCCCCCTAGTGGCCTGGCCCCTGACTCCATGCAGAGGTCACCCCAGAGAGGTGACCCAGGCCGCCCTCCCTGCCTGTCCGCTGTTAGAGAGCGCGCTGAGTTCAGCCACGCCAGGAGCCTGGGCCCAGGCCTCCTTCCATCCTCAGGCTGTGGGGTGACCCCGAACCTGGAGCCCGAGCCCCACTCCTCACCACCACAGCCAGGAGACAGCCCGGGGCCGAGCCCTCTCTCTGATGACTTCCCTGGAAGCTCTGAGACCAGCTCCCCCTGGGGCCTGCAGCCCACCTGCCCCGCCCGCCCCCCTAAACCTCCCCTCACCCCTGCCCGCCCACCCTGCCCTCCCTCACTACCCCCCTTCCCTCACCACCCCCGCCCTCACCCCTGCCCACCCTCACCCCCCACCTCACCCCCTACCCTCACCCCCTACCCTCACCCCTGCCCGCCCTCACCCCCCACCTCACCCCTACCCTCACCCCTGCCTACCCTCACCCCCTACCCTCACCCCTACCCTCACCCCTGCCTACCCTCACCCCCTACCCTCACCCCTGCCCGCCCTCACCCCCCACCTCACCCCTACCCTCACCCCTGCCTACCCTCACCCCCTACCCTCACCCCTACCCTCACCCCTGCCCGCCCTCACCCCCCACCTCACCCCCCACCCTCACCCCTGCCTACCCTCACCCCCCACCTCACCCCTGCCCCACTTCACCCTACCTCCCCCCCACTCCCACCTCACCCCCGCCCTTACCCCCTACCCTCACCCCCTACCCTCAGCCCCCGCCCCACCCTCACCCTACCTCACCCTCACCCCTGCCCTCACCCCGCCCTCACCCTCACCCCCACCTCACCCCACCTCATCCCCGCCCTCACCCTGCCCACACCCCCGCCCCACCTCACCCCGCCCCACCTCACCCCCACCTCACCCCACCTCATCCCCACCTCACCCCAACTCATCCCCACCTCACCCCCACCTCACCCCACCTCACCCCACCTCATCCCCGCCCTCACCCTGCCCACACCCCTGCCACACCTCACCACCGCCCCACCTCACCCCCACCTCACCCCACCTCACCCCACCTCACCCCACCTCATCCCCACCTCACCCCCACCTCACCCCACCTCACCCCACCTCACCCCCACCTCACCCCACCTCATCCCCACCTCATCCCCACCTCACCCCACCTCACCCCACCCCACCTCACCCCACCTCACCCCACCTCACCCCACCTCACCCCACCTCACCCCACCTCATCCCACCTCACCCCACCTCACCCCACCCCACCTCACCCCACCTCACCCCACCTCACCCCACCTCACCCCCACCTCACCCCACCTCACCCCACCCCACCTCACCCCACCTCACCCCACCTCACCCCACCTCACCCCCACCTCACCCCCACCTCACCCCACCTCACCCCACCTCACCCCACCTCACCCCACCTCACCCCCACCTCACCCCCACCTCACCCCACCTCACCCCACCTCACCTCACCTCACCTCACCCCACCTCACCCCACCTCACCTCACCTCACCCCGCCTCACCCCACCTCACCCCCACCTCACCCCCACCTCACCCCCACCTCACCCCCCTCACCCCACCTCACCCCACCTCACCCCACCCCACCTCACCCCACCTCACCCCACCTCACCCCACCTCACCCCACCTCACCCCACCTCACCCCCACCTCACCCCCACCTCACCTCACCTCACCTCACCTCACCCCACCTCACCCCCACCTCACCCCACCTCACCTCACCCCACCTCACCCCCACCTCACCCCACCTCACCCCACCTCACCCCCACCTCACCCCACCCCACCTCACCCCACCTCACCCCACCTCATCCCCCACCTCACCCCACCTCATCCCCGCCCTCACCCCACCTCACCCCACCTCACCCCCACCTCACCTCACCCCACCCCACCCCACCTCACCCCACCCCACCTCACCCCCACCTCACCCCACCCCACCTCACCCCACCTCACCCCACCCCCACCCTCACCCCACCCCACCTCACCCCCACCTCACCCCACCCCCACCTCACCCCACCTCACCCCACCCCACCTCACCCCACCTCACCCCAACCTCACCCCACCTCACCCCACCCCACCCCACCTCACCCCACCTCACCCCACCTCACCCCACCTCACCCCACCTCACCCCACCTCACCCCACCTCACCCCCACCCCCTCACCCCACCTCACCCCACCTCACCCACCTCACCCCCACCTCACCCCCACCTCACCCCCACCTCACCCCCACCTCACCCCCACCTCACCCCACCTCACCCCACCCCACCCACCCCACCTCACCCCACCTCACCCCACCTCACCCCACCTCACCCCCCACCTCACCCCCACCTCACCCCCCCCACCTCACCCCACCTCACCTCACCCCCACCCCACCCCACCTCACCCCACCCCACCTCACCCCCACCTCACCCCACCCCACCTCACCCCACCTCACCCCACCCCACCTCACCCCACCCCACCTCACCCCACCTCACCTCACCCCACCTCACCCCACCTCACCCCACCCCACCTCACCCCCACCTCACCCCCACCTCACCCCCACCTCACCCCCACCCTCACCCCACCCCACCTCACCCCCACCCCCACCTCACCCCACCCCACCTCACCCCCACCCCACCTCACCCCCACCCTCACCTCACCCCACCCTCACCTCATCCCACCTCACCCCACCTCACCCCACCCCACCTCACCCCACCTCACCTCACCCCACCTCACCCCACCCACCTCACCCTCACCCCCCACCTCACCCCACCCCACCTCACCCCACCTCACCCCACCCCACCTCACCCCACCTCACCTCACCCCACCTCACCCCACCTCACCTCACCTCACCCCACCTCACCCCACCCACTCACCCCACCCACCTCACCCCCACCTCCACCCCCACCTCACCCCCCCACCCTCACCCCACCTCACCCCACCTCACCCCCACCTCACCCCACCTCACCCCACCTCACCCCCACCTCACCCCACCTCACCCCACCTCACCTCACCCCCACCTCACCTCACCCCACCTCACCCCACCTCACCCCACCTCACCCCACCTCACCTCACCCCACCTCACCTCACCCCCACCTCACCTCACCCCACCTCACCCCACCTCACCTCACCCCACCTCACCCCACCCTCACCTCACCCCACCTCACCTCACCTCACCCCACCTCACCCCACCCCACCTCACCCCACCCCACCTCACCCCACCTCACCTCACCCCACCTCACCTCACCTCACCTCACCTCATCCCCACCTCACCCCACCTCACCCCACCCCACCTTCACCCCACCTCACCCCACCCCACCTCACCCCACCTCACCCCACCTCACCTCACCTCACCTCACCCCCCACCTCACCTCACCTCACCTCACCCCACCTCACCCCACCTCACCTCACCCCACCCCACCCTCACCCCACCTCACCCCACCTCACCTCACCCCACTCACCCCCACCTCACCCCACCTCACCCCACCTCACCCCACCTCACCTCACCCCCACCTCACCTCACCCCACCTCACCTCACCCCACCTCACCCCACCTCACCCCCACCCCACCTCACCCCCACCCCACCCCACCTCACCTCACCTCACCCCACCTCACCCCACCTCACCCCACCTCACCCCACCTCACCCCACCTCACCCCACCTCACCCCACCTCACCCCACCTCACCTCACCCCACCTCACCTCACCCCCACCTCACCTCACCCCACCTCACCCCACCTCACCTCACCCCACCTCACCCCACCTCACCTCACCCCACCTCACCTCACCTCACCTCACCTCACCCCACCTCACCTCACCCCACCTCACCCCACCTCACCTCACCCCACCTCACCCCACCTCACCTCACCCCACCTCATCCCCACCTCACCCCACCTCACCCCACCTCATCCCCACCTCACCCCACCTCACCCCCACCTCACCCCCACCTCACCCCACCTCACCCCCACCTCACCCCACCTCACCCCACCTCACCCCACCTCACCCCACCTCACCTCACCTCACCCCACCTCACCCCACCTCACCTCACCCCACCTCACCTCACCCCACCTCACCCCACCTCACCTCACCTCACCCCACCTCACCTCACCTCACCCCACCCCACCCCCACCCCACCTCACCCCACCCCACCCCACCTCACCCCACCTCACCCCACCTCACCCCACTCACCTCCCACCTCACCTCACCTCACCCCCACCTCACCCCACCTCACCCCACCTCACCCCACCTCACCCCACCTCACCCCACCTCACCCCACCTCACCTCACCTCACCCCACCCCACCTCACCCCACCCCACCCCACCTCACCCCACCTCACCCCACCTCACCCCACCTCACCTCACCCCACCTCACCCCACCTCACCTCACCTCACCCCACCTCACCTCCCACCTCACCCCACCTCACCCCACCTCACCCCACTCACCTCACCCCACCTCACCCCACCTCACCCCACCTCATCCCCACCTCACCCCACCTCACCCCCACCTCACCCCCACCTCACCCCACCTCACCCCCACCTCACCCCACCTCACCCCCACCTCACCCCCGCCCTCACCCCCGCCCGCCCTCACCCCGTCCCCCGTGCCCTGCATGGCGGCCTCCACACCAGCGCAGCTGCACTGTGGACGCGGCGACAGGCAGAGCAGCCGCCCTCTGCTCCTTGTCACTTCCCGACCCCTCATGCCCCACTGCAGGACCTCTGACCCGGTCACCGCAGCGCACACCTTTCTGGACGTGGCTAACTTTCTCTGCAGGACCTTCAGCGGCCTCCCTGA